ACGTGGCAACTGCGGGCTGCAAATATGAAGAGAAAGGGTGTTTGGGTGATTCGCAAAGCTGAGACGATCCACACATGCTCCTCGTCTATACTTTCCCAAGATCACAGACAACTAAAAGCAAAGAAAGTTGGGAGAACTATTAAGAACCTTATAGAAGCACAACCAGATATCAAGGTGAAAGCTATCATGGCAGAGGTGAAGGATCGACATTCTTACACGATAAGGTACAAAAAAGCATGGCATGGAAAGCAGAAAGCCATGGCTGAGGTGTATGGTGATTGGGAGGATTCGTATGCTTTACTCCCTAGACTTATGGGAGCAATGGAGGAGTACAATCCTGAGACTGTTTTCATACCAGTATACAACAATGTATACACTGAGGATCAAGTTCGAGTACAGGAGAAGCTAATGTTCCATCGTCTTTTTTGGGCTTTTAAACCATGTACAGACCACGACATCCCTCCTTTGCTCTCTGGTACAACTCACGAGGTTGTTCATAAGTCGGGTCAACCAAGTAGTCTTCCGCTCATCCATGGTTGGAGCACTTTCGAGAGTGTACTTGGCGTGTTCCAAACCATCAACCTAAGGAAAGCACAAAATATATCAAATTAACTAAACCTTAAAATAAATTTATTTTAGAACGAGGGAGATTAGGATGACTTACCAACGAACCCATCACAGCACCTTGCTTTGACACCCATCTCATGGTGAACTTCCGATACCACTGCATGTACCCATCGTGGTAGCCCATCGGTCTCGTCTCCGACATCCCTTGCACCACCCATTGGGATCGATTCTCCCAGATGTTGATGTAGAACTGATGCTTTAGGAGCCAGTTCTTTGCAGTGTGTCGGAGGTCCATAGCATGTAGCTCCCTGAAACCTTGAGGCGGGTCTTGTGGAATTGGTTGCTCCATTCGATATTGCCTCAAGGATCGATCGGGTAGGTGCCATTCCACCATGTGCTAGCAGATCAATGGCACCTTGCACAACCACGTCTCGTGATCCAGAGGGTGTCTAAGATGATGCAGCTCAACCACTTCACGTGGATATGGATCCCATATAACCTATATTCATTCAAAATTCGGAATTAACGACCATTTACATTGATAAAATTTAACTTGTTCAAATATGGACAAAACATGATTACCTGATTCCACCAAGGTTTATCTAACTCAGAACGATAAAACAGTAACGAATGCTCAGGTTGATGGTCATTCGTATTTGCTCCTATCCACCTTGTAAGTAAAAGTACGAAATCAATTTAATTGAAATATAGCTAAGCATATAATAAATTAAATTGGTCTAAGTACGGAATAAATTCAATTTAAATCTAGCTAAGCATGTAATCAAATTTAAATTGGGCTAAGTACGGAATAAATTCAATTTAAATCTAGCTAAGCATGTAATAAAATTTAAATTGGGCTAAGTATGAAATAAACTTACTTGACACCGTAGGGGAGATTTTGCAGAAAGTTTAGCTCATCATCGTTTCTCCGGTATGGACGTGGGTCGAGAGGTGCGAACATTGGAAGATGCTCCCATACCCACAGTTGTAGGATGAACATCGCAGCACCAGCTTGCTTTGCCCCCACTTTCGAGCAAGTACACAGCTCCCGGTATACGCCCGCTAGCATGGCCGATCCCCAACTCTTCTCTCCAATTGGATCCCATTCACCAGTGAGCAATGGCAACCATATGCCTTGAATCCACCGGTTGGACTTGTCGGGGAACAAAAATCCACCCACCAAACCGATGAGGTAGATGCGGGTGTAGCGCTCGACTTGTTCTTCCGGTGTCTCGTCATTGATTTCCACCTCTTGCTGGATGTGAGATACCAGCCACGGGACCGACACTTGGCCCGCATTCAACGGTGGATGCCCCCGTCCTTGAATTGGTGTGGTGGTCGGCATGTCAAAGCCCAAACGATCACGTATGAGCGGCCCCCAACCTCCTTTGGGTTTGGTCGTGGAACCAATGATGGCATCCCCAGAAATAGGCAGCCCGGTGAGGATCGCCACGTCTTTGAGGGTGATCGTCATTTCCCCCTCCGCAAGGTGGAACGTATGGGTTTCGGGACGCCATCGTTCCGCCATTGCCGTAAGCAGATCGTTGTCGATTTCGATCCGCAAGAAATGGCGCAACATTCCCAAACCGGTCCTCGCTATATAGGGCTCCAACCTTGGATGCCAAGCGGGCAAGTTATTGGTCCCTTTATGAACCACGGGAACAAGAGATTCCTAAAAAAAAATAGGAAAAACATCAATTTATTAGATTAAATAAAGCAAAATAAAACCTTAGAAAATAATAAAATAAAGCAAAAATACTCATCAAATTACCGGATTGTTATCCCAAATAGGACGGGAGCGATGAGCTTCTTGATCGGTTAAGCGACTCGCATCACTTGGGCCATAATGGATATACAATCGAGGATCGTATATCTCGGCACCCATCTATAAAAAAGTAATGAAATCAGAGATTGTTTTGATAAAAAAAAACACAAAATCAAATTGTTTCGATTAAAAAAAATCATAAACCAAAAACCTACACGAAGAGCCTCTTCGTCCATTTTTTGGAGGAAGCCGGACAGAGGTTCGACGGGTTTAAGTTTGTAAGGGACGGGAACTTAGCGGGACGGGGGCTTTAGGGTCAAACTCTTGTAATTCTTTCTGATGTGGAAGATCGGACTTAGCCGCAACCACAGAGCATACTTAGAACGAGACTAGAGCGGATAAATTGAGGGAGAAAGAAGTGAAATGGTTGTGGTGTGAGTTGAAAGTTGGAGGGGGAGGGTTATTTATAGTTGCGGGAAGGAGGGAGGAACTGCGCAGCATTTATTTGGAGAGCATTCACCGTCTTTGAGGGACGCGGTGAATGCATCGCTTCTCCCAAAAACGGTTCCGGAAGAGGCGACGTGGCGTGCTGTGAGGCGTCGGATCGTGGGAAGAAAACCACGATCCGCGCCTCACCGCATCCAACGGCCACGGTGAAAGCACATCGGCGCGGATCGCTGACGTAAACAAACACGATGTATTCACCGTGTTTGTCTAACGCGGTGAATACATCGCGTTTGTCCACGTCATCGATCCGCGTCGCTTCACCGTTTTGGACTCAAACGGTGAAGTATTCACCGTTTTAAACCAAGACGGTGATTGACTCTTTGGTTATTCACCGTTTTAAACCAAAACGGCGAACCCTTCACCGTGTTAATTTAAAATGGTGAATACTTCACCGTTTTATTTTAAAACGGTGAAATATTCACCGTCTATGTCAAACGCGGTGATCTCCTTCACTGCGTTTGTCAAAAAGGTGAATGCCAAACATGTGTACTTTGGGAAAAATTTTTATAACTTATGTATTTTGGGAATTTTTTTTAAGAACGTGTGTACATTGAGATTTTTACCAAAATGAGATGCATAACTTGCACACCAAGGGAATTGTATTGCTTAAATCCATCGAACTTGCCAGAAGTGATCGTAATCGTATTTAGGTGATGTGCTCTAGAGAATTTAAAGGTTTCTAGATCTTTACACTATTTGATTTTTCTTATTTAATTTATTTATCAATTGTATTTATCATATTTGAGGTATTGTATTTGTTAAGGTGTTTGATACTAGACATCCATCATATAAATGTGAATATTGTATAGCAATTAGGTGGAAGGATGAAAGTACTAAACACAGATGAAAAGCGAATCTCCTGCTTCGAAAGCATCATCCATAGGTTTTAAATGTTATATTGCAAGCAAAATTTACTCTACTCTACATTCATGACACTAATAATGAAGTCCAAAAATGGTTAGGTTTTCCCTTTAGAGATCCATTTTCGAATCCTTTGCACAATTCAATTATTCAACAGTTGTATTATATGTTAGGCTTTAGTAATATCTTAGTACAAATATTTCCACATGCAAAGGCTAAATTGAATGACACTATGGTTGTTAATGCATACGCTTTGGTTGTGATTGAGCATTAAGATTGAATTAAAAGCAATCAACATAGTAGCGACAACATTACTACAAATGTCTTTTGGATTTTTACTTCAGAGGTTATTCGAATCAGTTTGAGTGAAAACCATATGATTTTGACTTCATCACATACATGTAGTTCTCGATATAAGTCAGAAATCTTCGAGCATGCTATGATGATTTGTGGATAGACAGGATATCTAGATCTTTTTGTTACATTTTCATGTAAACCTTATTGGCCCGAGATCAAATCATTGTTGATTTGATAAAAACTAATTGTAGGAAATATCCTAATAGAGTTTATGTCAACACAAGAGTTTAAGCTACAACTAAATCATTGTTGAATGAGATTTTTTTTTTTTTTGAAAAAACATGTGCATGTAAGTTATGTTCTATAGATTTACTTTAAGCATTCTTCATTCTTGAGTTGTTTGGTAATTATTTTTCAGTTTAGATGGATATTGATAAATTCTTTCACTTCAAACGTATTAGAAAATGAATTTCTAAACGTAGTCTACCACGTAATTATTTATTAGCATTACTAGCTACAAAAGATAAATTTTATGTTCCTTCAAAAATATATTCAATAATTTGCTTAATTTTTTTCCCTGATGAATCGGCTTTATGTTTTGTGGCCCATGTGAATTTATGACCTAAAGTTCCATGTGCATCTAATAGTGTACGCTCAAAATGTTTTCTCAGGGAGATCAGCGAGCAAACAACTATCGATAGCAATGTTTCCAATTAATAAATAATTTGGATGCTCTTATGCTACCATATAAATATGTATCATGCTTGACTTTTGCTTCTAATTTTATTTTTTCAATTTATAAAATGAATCCGACCAATTGGTTGAGCCTATCTTGCTTAGAAAAATCGCTATTGTTGATTATACCATTTACAAAGTGCATCCTGTCAACGGGCCGGGTCTGAATCTAGTTTATAATTTGGGTATTGCAGTGAAATTAGTCCAGTTAAGATAAAAAAAATTGATATGGTGAAAAGCTAGTAAGATTAAGGGTTTTTATCTATTCCATTGTCCTAGACGGAATTGGAGAGGATCCCTCATCGCCACTGAATCGCCATCACCCTTGGCCGCCTGCCTTGCTTCTATTCTTTTCTACTTCTCCTCGGCTTTTGCGGGCGATTCACCTCTGGACCGCGGCTCGGAAGGCCCAGAAATCCATCCGTTTCGTACTTATCGCCGCCCATCCGGCATCCACAGCTGCAGCTATCCTAGAGAAACTGCTCAACCTCTCTGCTGCTTCTTCCGGCAGGTATTTATCCTTCATCCTGTTTCTGTATTGCGTATATATGGTCTCTACAGAATATCTGAGTGGCTGAATTGTAGATTGCTCTAAATGGCCGCGACTTTTGTGTTAATCTCCTGTGTACTTTTTTGCTGTATGCCTTTCCCCCTCTCTCTGTTGAGTTAGTCCATTTACTCCTTTGCTGGGTTAGGAGGTTCGCTCGATTTGAGTTCGTGGGTTGTACTTAGCTTCGCTGGGCTCTCGGTTGTTAAGACCAGGAGTAACTGTTCCTCTCTGTTTGGGTGGAGATGGAAATTCTGTAGTAGCGGCTTTCTAGTTGGATTTTGGATACTACGGATTCAATTGCACGAACGTCTGTTGTTTGGTATCTGCGTTTGTTTTTGTTTGTGCGTGTATGTATTCATGCGAAGTACTGATTGCGGGGTTGAGATGTTAGTTTACAAGATTTCCAATCCTACAGGAACGTAATTGTGATGCTCACATGGGGTTTCGGCCGAATTTATTTCCATTCCCTCAGTTCGAGAGCCCAAAGGACTGCGTATGACACATTAACCTTTGTGCTAAGCTAATAGAAATCTTGACCTGGATATGCATCTTGATTCTTGTTCATTGTTTGATCCACTACAATTACATGTGTTGCGTGGGGAATTAAGATAATTTTCGTGGTGTGCTAAGACATTTATGTTTGACTCGTTGAACTTTGAGCTCGTTACCTTGTATCGTGATTTTCTGTATCTTTAGATCCTCATCATAAGACGCGGCAAAGAGAAGGTTCTGCAATTTGAAGTTGGTGAAACTAGAAACCGATTGGGGGGAAGAAATATGGAGTCGCTATCTCAATCTGGAGATATATTTGATTCCTCGTTGAATCTAGAGGAGACACATTATAAAGAAGGCTATGATGAAGGGTACAAAGATGGCCTGGTTGCTGGCAAAGAAGATGCCAAACAAGTCGGCTTGAAAACGGGCTTTGAGATTGGAGAAGAGCTCGGATTCTATCGTGGTTGCATCGATCTCTGGAACTCGGCAATGAAGGTAGCTCCGACACATTTCTCAACCCGAATCCAGAATTCTATAAAGCAAATGGAGGAACTGATCGACAAATACCCGCTTTTGGAACCTGAGGATGAGCGCATTCAAGTGATAACGGATAGTCTAAGGCTGAAGTTCCGGGTCATAAGAGCAGGCCTGGGAGTGAAATTAGAGTATGATGGATATCCAAAGCCTCGAGATATGGAGTTTTGAAGTAGTTCGTTCTTAGGATATCCTGATCCCTTTTGTTTGTCTCTACCTCCCCTCCTTTGTTACTTCATTAGCCATGTTTTACTGTGAGGTAGTGCGCTGGATGTCCAGCATTGTACACTGGGGCTTTGCTGTCTCCCTCTTCTTATGGTATTATATTTCGAGTTGAATCTAAGAATGGCTTGCTGGTACAAAAGTATATCTATTTCCTTACATTTTCTTCGCCATGGGACTGAATGAGATTAAATCTTAACTATCCTACAACTGCGTAGAGGGATTCTACTAGTCACAAACAAAACCATGAAACTGGAACGGTTTTGTTGTCTTTAGGTTTCATAGCCTCGAACGAAACAGAGAAAATGTATGGCTTCTTTAACATCTCCATGATAATTCTATTGGATTTTTTGCTTTTATCAGGCTGTGTGGTTGCATGGCAGCCACATAAATCTTTATATCATCTTATCTCATTCACCTTATCTGTTGTTTTCAGCTTGTAGTAGTTTGCAAGGTGGTGGAAGTTGAAAAATGCTAAAGCAGGGGCTTGGTTGCTGCAAAGTGTACGTATCTGAGAGCCGAAACAAGGCAGCATTGGAGTTGATTGAAAGAGCAGCAAAGTTGTTCCCCGAAGCACAAATCATCAACAAGTTTGAAGATGTGACCTACAACAGAGTTGGATACACACTTGTTGCAAGTTTGGATCCAAACCTGTCACCTGCAGATAATAGTCCATTGAAGAGTTCAGTGTTCGCCATGGTTAAGGCTGCGTTTGAAGCAATTGACCTCGAGCATCATGCTGGGTCTCACCCTAGACTTGGTGTTGTGGACCATATCTGTTTCCATCCACTTGCTCAGGCATCTCTGGAACAGGCAGCCTGGGTTGCTAAGTCCTTGGCAGCCGATGTTGGTTCTCAACTCAAAGGTTTGACCCCTTTTTTTGGAATGAAGGTTTGAGCTTTGACATTTGGAAACTCTTCTGTGAAGAAAGAACTGGATCTGGGTTTTTTCTTTCAGCTGAATGCTAATGCTGTCAAATTTAGCCTGCAGTGCCGACTTTTCTGTATGGTGCTGCCAGTAATGAAAGGAGGAAGCTAGATTCAATCAGGAGGGAATTAGGCTACTTTAAGCCGAATTCTGGAAACCAGTGGGTTGGAGGTCCAGAATCCGAAACCCTGCCTCTGAAACCAGACGAAGGACCCTGTGAAGTGAATCAAGCAAAAGGTGTCCTTGTCGTCGGAGCAACCAAGTGGGTTGATAACTACAATGTCCCCGTCTTCTCCACCAACATGGCTGCCATTCGAAGAATCGCGAAAAGGGTAAGCACGAGAGGTGGTGGGCTGGCTTCTGTGCAGGCAATGGCACTTGCTCACGAGGACAATGTGATTGAGGTTGCTTGTAACTTGTTGGAGCCGAGTAATGTTGGAGGAGACAGAGTTCAGCAAGAAGTCGAGCAGCTTGGTGTGGAAGAAGGAGTTGGTGTAGGGAAAGGTTATTACACTGATTTCTCGCAGGAGAAGATAGTTGAGAGTTACTTGAAGCTTGCTGGTCAGGCTATGTGAGAACTGTACAATCTGCATCATCACGTTGTAGGATTTGCAGCTCTGTTGCTGGTCAAGTTATTCATTTTCCAACACTTCCATTCTACTAGTTGTTGTAATTGTAAGATACTCGAGATTTAAGTTTACTTTCTGCCAATGCTTTTGCCAGATCGAGAAACTGGGGCACTGATGTTTTGTTCTTTGATACCTTTACTTGGGGGCTGGGGCAAATATGAAGAGGGAAACTCACTTGTAATCCACCACCATTAAGGGAAAGGATTTGTGTTACTTCCATCAGTTTAATACATTATCCAATATAGTTGTCCCAGATAACAAAAGCTACATTTAATCATTTGATAAGATTGAACAACAACCAAAAATGCATCTGCAAATCTGCAATTATCAAAAGAGAAAGAAAATGCATTTGATGGGTACAGCTGATGTGTCACGGGCACATATTCCTGTGGCCTGTTGGCTCTACATGTGTGTACCTAACAACTTAGGATAAGAGCCTGAAAAGAATCTGTTGGCTGGAAGTGGTTCTGGAGCTGGAGCCCATCCAATCTTAAAGATCCCACAAAATAGTTTGGAGTCCTTATCTCGTGTTTCATGCACAATTACTCAAATTCTGGTCATCATAGCAGTAGAGTGTGCGCAACAATTTAGTCAGAGGAGGAAATCCATCACGAGTGGATTGGACCGAATTTAAAAAATATATGCAATTTGTTGAGGTTTAGTTGTCAATTTTATAATTAAGAAGATATATTAAAAAGTATATGAACTAAATATCATGATGCAATAGTAGTGTTTTGTCAGTTTTCCTGATTTCATCTGCACAGTCATTGCTGTACCTAACTCATAGCACTTCCCAGCTCTATGAATGACGGGGAGCCCTTTATTTTCTGGTTTTGTTTGTTTGCAGAGTACAGAAATGGGAGAAGTCGGTAGTCGAGACCAACAAGAAAACTCCACTCCACTGACCGATTCATCAAAATACCTGACAAATCGCCACTGCTGTGACAAAGCAAAGCTCACGGGCACATGACAAGCTCTGCTGCAGCCTGCAAGTCCGTAAATACACAACAGACTTGAAAATAATACCATGAGTCCATGATGTGCATTTTCCCCATGTTCTTTATTAGGCTTGCTTCTTTCTTACAGTTTATGTGAATCATGCAAGCTGCTCTTGGTTTAGCCTAACTTTTTCTCATTTGGGTTTGTTTGTTTCTGTTTCCTCGTGGGGACATGTGGCTTGAATGCGATGCAGTACGATGCTGACTGATCACATTTGGCCTGCCCCTGCCTCTTCAACAATGGCTTATATATATATTATCATCTCCCTCATAAATTTCTGCTGCTCTTGTAATCAGCTCTCTTGCTTTTCCCCTTGGTCAGTCTAGAAACGACAATCGTGTTTCAATTTCAAAGAAGCTAAAAGCATAAAAACAGAGGAAGCAGAGCTCAGAGGCGAGAAGAAGATCAAGAACAAGAAGGAACAGCTAGAAATGGAGCTTAGCCCAAGATCCAAGGTAACGATTTCTATGTTTCCTGGACTTGTTTGATAGTACTGCATGCTTGCGATCATTTCTTGCTCTCTAGTGTCCCCCAGCAGCTTTGCTTCATAAAAGTTTCTTTCTTCCTGTTCTGCTCATCCAAGGAGTGATCACGCTTTAGCTAACAGTCATCTAATCATCTTGAGCTGCTGCAAGCTATGAACCCTAAATGTTCATGATCATAACCATGTAGGACGAAATCTTCCTCCCGATCAAAAAAAAAAAAAAGGACGAAATCTTCCACCACTTGATAGTTGACATGAACCGACTTAGCAAATGCAGTTTCCGGTGTTATTCATTGCCACACATCTGTGATCTGTCCATGTAAACATACGTATTGTGATAATTGGATAAGATTTCCCTCCTCAAATCTGGTTGGTTCCATAGATTCCCCCACCCATCGATCTCTCCTTATCCTTGAACTGACGAGGATCGATGATGATCTGTAAAGATGCTAATTTGGAAATATCAAATACTGAGCTGGGTTTTCCTTTTCCTTGTCATAGATCAACAAAAAGGGGGCGGGGAATCACTCGGCGCTGCTCTGCTGCAAGCTCTTCATCTCAGAGTCGCGAAACTCGGCGATCCTGGACGCCATCGAAACGGCGGCGAGGCGGGACCCAGAAACGGTGATCGTCAACAAGTTCCCTGATCGTGCTTACAACAGAATTCGATACACTCTGGTCTCCTACGTCGTGGCGCTCGACAGCACCGGAACCGCCATTTACAGCCCCCTGCGGCAGACGGTGGTGGCGATGGCGGAGGCCGCCTACGCGGCGATAAACCTCGAGCAGCATTCCGGTACCCACCCTCGGCTTGGCGTGGTGGACGAGATCGTTTTCCATCCCTTGGGTCGAGCCTCGCTCGACGAAGCCGCTTGCCTTTCCAAGGGTCTCGCCGCCGACATCGCCGCCCGATTTCAGGGTCAGTAGCTCCAATCGAAGAACCTTGATTGATTGATAGTGTTGCTTTCAGTTTTCATCTAGGGTTTCTGTTTCTGTGCAGTGCCTGTGTTTCTGTTTGGTGCTGCACATCCAACGGGGAAGGCCTTGGATACCATAAGGAGGGAGCTGGGCTACTACAGGCCCAATTTCACAGGCAGCCAATGGGCCGGCTGGACGATGCCCGAAACTCTATCGGAGAATCCCGACGAAGGCCCGGCCCACGTGTCTCGAACCCGAGGCATCGCGATGATCGGAGCCAGGCAGTGGGTCGGGCTGTACAACGTTCCGATCGTGAGCACCGACGTGTCTGCTGCTCGGAAGATCGCCCGGATGGTGAGCGCTCGTGGCGGCGGGCTGCCTACGGTGCAGACGTTGGGCCTGGTTCACGGCGAGGATTCGACCGAGATCGCCTGCATGCTGCTGGAGCCCAACCAGATCGGAGCGGACCAGGTTCAGAACCGGGTTGAAATGCTTGCGGCCGAGCAAGGGTTTGATGTGGAGAAGGGCTACTTCACTGATTTTTCACCTGAGATGATTGTTGAGAAGTACACCAATTTGATTTCTGGGAACAGGGATTGATCCGACTGGTTAGGCTTTGACGTCTCAAATGTCATAATATATCTTCAAACCACAAAATGTGAAGGCTGTAATTTTGTAAATGAAAAGTGGAAACCAAAATCACTCCGTCAGCATTTCTCATTTCCCAGATGTAGAGTTTGCATTGACAGAGAGGTCGATCAGGGGAAAATTTGAACACTCTGCCTCTTAACATCAGCCACCGTATAACCTATTATCAATATATCATCAATGTACATTTCGCGGAGTTTGAGCTAAAAATGCTTTAACCCTTTCACGAACACTGTTGCTTCCGAAAATCTTCCGACAGCAATGTCCGAAGCAGTTCCTGCAATCTTTTCGCCCCGGGACCAGGACTAAATACCGAATGATCCCCACGAACAGAGCACGGGTCAGACCCATTATCCGACCCACCGACGCACCAGGCTCCTGGAGCAAACCGATCGGTTCGCCCCAGGAGTTCCTTGTCAATCTTGTCCAGAACCGGATCATCCTTTGCGAATTTCTGAGCAAATGGAGCATTGTTATTAACCATCTTGTCGAAGTCTTTCGTCGTCAAGGATAAAGGGTGCTGCTTTGGCAACGAGTTATTACATAAATACATCTCTTTAGATTTCCGAGCAAATGGAGCATTGTTGTTAACAATCTTGTCGAAGTCTTTCGTCGTCAAGGATATAGGGTGCTGCTTTGGCAACGAGTTATTACATAAATACATCTCTTTAGTGATAGGCTTTGGGATAGGGAGGGTGCACCAACACCATTGCCAGCTCCCCACGTCAGAGGCGTGAATTGAGTTATTACAACACATATCTTTAGTGATGGTGTATTTGTGTAAATAATGATCGTTCTACCTATATTGATCAGAATGTTTTAATATAGTTAACTAAATATAAGTATTTTGCAACGAGTCCCTCTCATTATGTCCACCTGAATCCTAACTTACAATCCTCGTAAAGATTCCACCTTTTGTGGCACAATTTCATCCCCTAGTCAACAACAAAGGGTTAAACTGCTTCAGTGGACTTCCAAATTCCAATTGAAACTGTTTCAGAAGCAATAAATAGGAAGGATAACTCAACCCGCGAAAAAACGCGTTACCTTTGCTAAGGAAACTTATCCTCCAAAGATCCAATCGATCACCCACCTCCAAAGTCGAAGAAGACGAACGAGAGAAATGCTTTGAGTAGAAGATTTCAGGAAACTTAGGACGGAAGAGAGCTTCTTAATATATTATAATGGAAGGCCAAAAAGTAGGGGTAGCAAATTAATGGAAAGAATGACTATGCAAGTTGTAAAAAATTCGCCGGAAAAGGGGGCGGGGACAAAGTTGGAGGCGTTGCAGAGAAAGAGAAGTTGAGCTTAATGAATGTGCAACGATGATGGAGAATCGAATAGTCTGGTTGGGGGAGAAGTGGGAAGAGACTAGAGGGGGAAAGGGAAGGAAATGAGTTGGACTGATGATGACTTGATATATACACATGTTTTTGTCCACCATTCCTGTACCGTTTGAGTCTCATCTCTCGTGTTTTAGGCCGATTTCACGCAAGGTTGTTCTTGTTTGTGATATTTCAGGTCCTAGTACGTGAAAGAAGGTTTGGGCACGAGTTCGGGGTCGATTGGACGAAGTTTGGACGTTTGACGAAAAGCGGGAAATTCCACACGGGCACGCCTAAAATTCCACACGGCCGTATGACTTGGCCGTGTGGCACCACTTTGCACGGGCAAATCGCACTGGCCGTCTATGGGACCCATTGTGGCCGTGTGGAAAGTCCAGGGAGCTCACACGGGCAGACTGGAAATCCACACGGCCATGTGGTTTTGGCCGTGTAGCGTAACTGAAGCCACTTAAGTGAAACGCGGCATTTTGCACTTCCACACGGGCAGGTGGGGATTTCACACGGCCGTGTGATCAGGCATAACTTGGTTTTAACCCAATTTCGAGTCTTTTGAAGGGGAGTCGACTTTTTGGAGCAAAAACAGAGCCCTAGAGAGAGAAAGTGCGAAGAACACCCCCCTAAGAGTGGTTTTGGAGCTGGGTTTCATCAATCAAGCTTGGAAATCATCGTTGGAGTGAAGATTATCATCCCATAGCAGATTCTTCCCATCTTGATGAGTATGACTGCTTTGTTTGCTGTTTTCCTCTCTCTCTCTATGGAGTAGAACTTTCTCTCACTTGGGTATGAAGAACCCTAGTTCCATGTGTTAGGGATCTTGATTGTAATGACTTGGGATTGTTATACTGTTTGATTTTAATCGATTGATGCATGATTCATTGAGTCAATTAAAGCCTGATCATCTTTTCTTGATTTCTGCTGCAACCTGAGATAGATAGAATCTGATTAGGTTGTTAGAGCTTCATCAATCGGTAGTGGTAGATTGGTTATACGAGAGTTAATCAATCTACTGCTTTGTACTGGAACCCAATTCCAGTAGTGGAGGTCTGTGCTTATTGCCTCGGCAGTCTATCCCGGTGAAGGTTAGTCGCCTGCCGGTTAGCCTGCCTGAGAGGGCTTGGTCAGCTTAAGAGATTCCAAACTACTGTCGGATCTTCCACAGTTTAATCAACAGTAAATCAACCCAGGGTAATTACAACTGAGACCTAACTAAGGAGTTAGGGGGACTCATTCCCGAGTGACTCTTCCTTTGCTTTAGAAAACCGAACCATTTCCTGCTTTCTTACTGCTTTTAGTTAAAATCACAATCACTCAACTTAGTTTGCTAGATAACAGATATACACGGAGTAGGCAGTAGATCTAGACCCCGGGTTGACAATTAGAGCTTGCATGTTACTGCATTTTCGGACTGCGATTACACTTGGTCGCAGTTTGGTGTTGTGTTTTAGCGTGTCAACTGATAATTGGGACACTACACTCAACAAAACCAGATAGAAAGAGACCCTCCTCGGACGGAACACGAAACCAAATTTTTCTTGGGTTTGGTTTGATTTGGTTGGTCTTTTTTTCCCAATCCGGTTTCTTGGTCTTTTTCATGGTAATTTTATTTTAGGGTGAATCCTTATTCTTTAGATGAGTGAGAACAAAATGGGGTAAGAGTAAGACCATTTTCAATAAGCCATACACAAATTAGTATGCTCAAAAGTCAAAACTGATATATGAAATGTGCAAAATTTAAGCCTAAAAATAGAAGAGTGCTTTATTAAGTTTTTTTTTCGTACGACGTAGGTATAATAGAGTTGTTTATATTATGAAAAAATATGTTCTCTTATTAATGATTTGATTATTGTCCAAAGTTGTTTTCTTCTTTATGTTTTGTGATTCATCTTGTAAAAAAATCTTTATTATTGTACTACAAATTCTTTATGTTTTATGATTTATCTCGTAAGACATCTCTATTATTATACTACATATTCGTTGTTCTCTTCCGAGATTTTATATAACAAAAATAAAGTAGAAGAGGCGCTTTAGTATGTGGCATAATTTAGTTTCTTTCTATTTGTGGAAACTGAATTCGAAGAAAAATACAGCATTTAAAGAGTTCAACAAATAGCTACATTGCAAGTGACAACCTAACTAGTTTATAGAGCCATTTTATTGGAACCTACTCTCACCAAGTAACTAAGGATTTCGAGGACACACATATAACTTTAAAATATTCTAAATTTATTATATATGTAGCATGGTTAGCAAAAATCATTTAGTACATGCATATGTATTATATTCGATTAAAGTTCTCATTTTTGTATTATAGAGGAATAGTTTCATGCATACTTTTGTTTAATAATTGCCTAATTAAACCGGTTTATACTGTTGTACCGATTTAGCAAATGGAATGGTATGATTAGTGGTACAACCGATTTGTGTCGGTTCATATCGGCTTAATAAAGACGACATTCCAAATAAAATAACAGATACTCATATTTAAATATACCATATTTTCTCACAAAAAAACCATATTTAACGTTAATATCTAAAGGTTTAGTCTTGAATCCAACAAATTAGATAAACTTTTAATTTTCATATTCATAAAACATATAATAATTTTTTTTAAGTTGGTAAATTGATCATACCGATCATATGCTAGGTGTAACGATTGAAGCAGATTTAACCGACACCAATTGAATTAGATTCATCGCCAACGAACTCATTGATAGTAGAAGAAGAAGTGGACGACCTGGACTCATTTTCAAACTCGACATTGCGAAAGCTTTTGATTCGGTTAGCTGGGAATGTTTATTTAAGGTTCTTAAGAATATTGGGATGAATGCAAGATTGCATAAGTGGATTAAGGGGCTGGTTACTTCTTCCAAACTCATTGTGCTTGTTAACGGGGAGGCGTCGGGCTATTTCGATATGCAGAGGGGGGTGAAGCAAGGAGGGTTGGCGAGGTTAATCACCTTTTGTATGTTGATGACGACATTGTGTTTTGAGAGGTATCCGATGATAGCATGTTCAACCTAATGGTTGTTCTTATCCATTGTCAAAGCATCACCGGGTTAAAAGCGAATTTGCAAAAGAGCATGCTACTACCAGTTGGGGAAGTTGAAAATATCCAGAGGTACGCTGAAATTCTCGGATGTGATTGGAAATTTCTCCCTACTGTGTATCTTGGCCTTCCACTTGGAGCCTCCCCTTCGTCGTCTGTTGTTTGGAACCCTGTGATCAATAAAATGCAGCTGTGTCTCGAAGGTTGGTGAGGGCACTATCTGTCGTTGAGAGGAAGAATTATTCTCTGCAACGCGGTGCTTGCCAGTCAACCGCTCTATCTGTGTAGCCTTTTCACCGCTCAATGTTCAGTCACTGAGAAGATTCAAAGGATTCAAAGGGAATTTATCTTGTCTGGTGGGCATTCTAGCTTGAAGATACATTTGGTGGCGTGGGATAGATGTAAAATTCCGAAAAGATTGGGAGGCCTTGGCATTGTCGATACCCGTAGCAGAAACAAAGCTCTCTTATGTAAATGGTTGTGGGATTTCGCCCATGACAGAGACTCATGGTGGAGGGAGCTTATCAATGTGAAGTTTTCTAACGTGTGATCGGATTGGATGCCAGGCGAGTTTAAAGGGGTTGCAGGCTGTAGTCCTTGGTCGCAAATTCTGAAATTAAAGAAGGACTTTTGGAGATTTTCCACTGTCGATCCAGGGTCAGGTGCTGGGACGTCTTTCTGGTATGACGTTTGGACCAAGGGTCGCTTGCAGATGAGTTTTCAAGAGTCTCTGCTGCTGCCGCATTGCCTAATTGTCGGATTACTGATGTTTTACATGAGGACGATGGGACTATCACCTAGGAAATTCCTCTTAAGCATAGCTTGAGAGGAGGGGTTGAG